CAGTTAAAACATTTGGTCCAGACTTCAAATATATGTGCACTAAAATGTTCATCAGCAGGAGACTGACTAAATATTATATTGTGCAGGCAATCCACATAGCAGCGTCTTGTGCTGCTATTTTTAAAAGTGGAATACAGTAGCTCTATCACAACATTCCCAAAGAAAATCTTTTAAGATTAAGAAGAGGTAAAATAAAGAAAAAAAACTTAAATAATCTGAAGGATGGTGTGTATAGTGTCATCCCACTTATAGGAATGATTTTAATATATTTAGGTATTTTGCCTGCATGCATATCTATGCACCATATCCATGCCTGATACCCTCAGAGGCCAGCAAAGGGCATCAGATGGCATCAGATCCCCTGGCATTGGAGTTACAGACAGTTGTGAGCTGCCATTTGGGTATTGGGAATGGAGCCCAGGTCCTCTGGCAGAGCAGCCAGTGCGCTCAACCACGGGATCCATCTCTCCAGCCCTGACTTCTACTTTTCACAGCTTTCCACTCCTTTTTAAAACCATGACATATGTCACAGTTATCATTTAAAGAATGGGTATTTTAATGATTAAAACAAAAACAGGGTCTAAAAAAAAAAAAAAAAAAAAACGTAGCTCGTGTGTAGAGTGCTTATCTACCACGTACGAGACTGGTTTGATTCCACGGCACCACAAGAAAACAAACAAAAGCCATAGATACAATATTCTTTTTTATTTTATTTATTTATTTATTTTGTTTGTTTGTTTGTTTGTTTTTCGAGACAGGGTTTTCCTGTGGCTTTGGAGGCTATCCTGGAACTAGCTCTTGTAGACCAGGCTGGTCTCGAACTCACAGACATCCACCTGCCTCTGCCTCCCAAGTGCTGGGATTAAAGGCGTGTGCCACCAACGTCTGGCTAAGATACAATATTCTTAAAAGAAAAGTTTTACATCAGAGGAAATCCCTTTCTACAGAAGTTAACTTGTGTGAAAATCCCATCAGTGCTAGGACAGTCAAATGCGGCACCCCAGCACTGGTCGTGGCAGGCTGTCACGACTCCGCATGATTTCACATATGGAAATGCCAAGGCCCATGGCACTCCATTAGAAACCGACAATGAGTTAATAAATATTTAAACCAGCTGACACTTGATAGCACTTAGTGAGGCCTCGATAAGTAAGGCCAGTAACACTCTTATCATCCTCCCGCTTGGCAGCTGTCCCAACCACACATCAGCCCTTCCACATTGCCCAGTCCTGATTGGTCTCGATCAGGCCTGAGTCAATGACCAACCTAGGATGCCTACTGCAAAAATCCATTCAAAAAGTTCATGCCGGATGAAATCTCTATGAGCCCCTGTCATACCATGAAGAAGATGAAAGCCACCTCCTACAACAACTTCACATCCTACACAAGTGTGTGTCCCCCCAAAAGATGCCCCAGCCCACCTTCAACAACCTCCTTAATAAAAATCAGAAGCTTGACACCCCACACTTCTTGCCTTCCTTCTGCCCTTTTCTTTTCACAGATCCCCCCACCCCCCATCACCAACATCCATCCCCTGTGCCCTTACAAAAGAAATGGTGGTAAAGGCCAAATTTCAGCCCTGCCCTTATGAAAAAGACATGACCAGGACATGACTCTCTTTATGCTGAATCTTTGTCTCCCTCACCCACTTACCATCCATCCCTGTCCTCTGTCAGATATGCCCTGCAGGCCTGTCCCACCAAGCCAGGCTTTGAGAGCTCCTATACAGTCCACCTTACACCCCAGGGTCTCAGCTCCACACACGGGTGGCAGTCTGGGAAGAGTTCCCATGGTGCATTAGCTCCATGAGTGAGAGAGGAAGAGTGTGGGGCTTTCTAGCCCCTCATCAATAATTCACCAGTCTCAGACTGAGGGGCACCAGTCAGTCCTTTTCTTCCTACACAAGGCCAGCTATCTTATCTCTTCAGGATGCTCTGAGCAACACAACTGCAACTTCTCGGCTGAGAAGCCCTCCGTAATCTAGTTCTTGCTGGTTACATCACTTGGTATCCATATACAACCCCCAGCACACCTGCTTTGTGCTTTGTCTTCTCAATATATTTATATATATATATATATATATATATATATATAGTGTGTGTGTGTGTGTGAAATGATTCTTTTTTGTTTTAGACAGGGTTTCTCTGTGTAGCCCTAGCTGTACTAGAACTAGCTCTGTAAATCAGGCTGGCCTGGAACTCACAGAGATCCTCCTATTCCTACTTCCCAGATGCTGGGATTAAAGGTACAGTGTGCCACCACATCCAGCTATGAAATGACTCTTTAGTAAACACAAATTCTGTTAAACGTCAAACCCCAGAATTGTATCTCACAGACTTAGTAATTGTGCACACTGCATAAGGTTGACCAGATGTTGATTTCACAACACTTTTCTAAAACCATCATCTGAGATGGGCACGGTGGTACATGCCTTTAATCCCAGCACCTAGGAGGCAGACATGGGTGGATCTCTGAGTTTGAAGCCAACCTGGTCTACAGAAAGAGTTCAGGACAGCCAGAACTATACAGAGAAATCCTGCCTCAAAAATAAATAAATAATAAACCCATCTGCTTTTATCATCTTTTCTAAAAAGAAGAGACTAACATCAGAAAGAGCCGAGCACAAATTCCATTAGTGTTACAAAACTCACTTTATTGTCTTTACATTTCTTATTTTGCCTCAGAGTCTGAAAATGCTGCCAGGGACCAACACTGCTTTTCAGCCTGGTAATTGGGACCCCAGGGGTGGAACCAATTTAGTCACTTTGGCTTGGTTCTGTTGAGGCCTGGTTGTGGTACACTCTAAGCCTTCCAAATTCACTAATTCTTCCAGGAACCCAGGAGAGAGATCACTTCTGCCCACATGGCAGCAAATGGAGGCTGAAGTCTTGGACTTAGAATTTATGGCTGGTGCGCGTTTTATTCATCATGTACTCCACATTCTCAGTTCACAGGCAAAGCGTCTGGCCTGTGGCAGGCATAATAACTATTGTATGGTGACAATAATTGCTGTGTAGTTAGTAGTTTACAGTTAAAGCACTTTCATGTTTAGCAGATATTTACTGAACTAGAATGGAAGGGAAGAGCTGAGGATTAGTGGGCATGGAGATTCTGAGCACTCCTCGGTCCCCATATTTCCACCACTGGTTAGGGGACTCGTTAGCATTGTTGCTGCCACTACCTATAAAGTGGGAGGTCCTCTCGGATAGAACCTGGATCTCCATTCATCCTTTCACACTGGGTATCACAGTGACCTTTTCTGCCTGTCCGAAGATAGAGTACTCAGCGGTTCTCAACCTTCCTAATGCCTCGAGACCCTTCACTACAGTCCCTCATGCTGCAGTGACCCCAACCATAAAATTATTTTGGTTGCTTCACAACTGTAATTTTGCTACTGTTACAAATAGTAATGTGTTTCTGATGGTCTTAGGTGACTCCAAGGGGTTGTGACCCAGGGGTTAAGAACTACAGCAGTAGGCTTTGAGATAGAGGGAAAAGTGGTATCGGTCCCAGGCCAGCTCATAACTCATCACATTTGTCTCCTAACCTCCCTGAATGGATCCTGTGAGGAACACAAGACTTGCCTCCACAGGCAGTCTCAAAACATTCATTCACCCTTCGAATTTGTGGGGGGGGGGGGTGTTGAGAGAAAGGAGGTAGATACACATAGTTGGTGATAACAAAAGATTATGTTTTTATTATGCCGAGGGTCATCACACTAGGTTCACATCTAAATTCCTCACTATGGTCCTAAGTTTATCTCCCCAAGGCTGCTCACCCAAGACCCTGAAGATCAGGTCCAGTCTCTAACAGAAGTGTCTGAATGAGGCTCAGGATCTTGGGAGAGACTCTCCAGCTGCAGGGTAGATCAAGCTAGCATCTCTCCAGACGCGCAGAGCAGAGCTTCCCTCTTGGTGTCTGCTTATAGACTGTCCAGTGGGTGTTATGGGTTCTAGGACTGTGCCTGGTTATCCTAAGTGAGTGATGTCAGCAGGTTCTGGTCATCAGGCACAGCCTTGGGTGAAGTGAGGTTCCTGACTAAGCTGTTTTTACAAGTCTGGGAGCATTTTTATTTTTTTTACCATGCTCATTACAGTTTGTTGGGGGGTGCGGGGAATGCATATACGTGCATGTAAAAGCCAGAGGTCAACAAGGAGTACTTTCTATCCGTCTTATCTTTTTCTTGAAACGGGCTCTTTCACTGGACCTGGAGCTCACAGATTTGGCAAGAGCAGCTAGCCAGAACCCTCCACCATCATCCTGTCTCTGTCTCCCCAAAGCTACATTTACAGCTGTTAGCTGACACACCCTTTTTATGTTGATGCTGAGGGTCCAAACTCCGGCCCTCATGCTTGTTCAGTAAGCCAAGTGAGTTATCTCCGCAGCACACACATTAACTCAAGCTTTTTTGAAAGAAGAATTATTTAAGATTTTTAAAGAAGCAAAAGAAAAAAAAAGGGAAATCAAAGCTTCCTCTACAGAAAATC